CATATTGAGTCTGTGCTAGGCTATGAGCCCATTTCAAGCACATCCATTCCGCGCGCCGGCCTAGAACAGTAGTCAACCTCCAGTAGATCAATGACTGGCTTGTTCTTCCCCAGTAAAACGATGAATGAAATTGCTCAGGGCAACAATGATACAGACGCAGCTAACTTTATACTTGTAGACGACATTGAACATCTCACAAAAAACAAACAATCAAGCCCAAACCAAAAGAAGCACGAAAATGAAATCAACAACCGCAACTGTCTTGCTGGCCCTTTGTTTGGGTGGCACTCTTGCCCAAGCCCAGTTCTTCAATTCAGGGCTCGGGCTTGGGTTTAGCAACAACAATCTGAGGGGAAATCCAACGCAGACCCCGTCGCACGTTCCAAGTACTAGCCAGGCACCTAGCATGTCTTCAGCCCCTTCCGAAACCCCAAGCGTCAGTTCGGCCCCAACAACCAGTTCGATGCCGAGCACACTCCCAAGTGGTGTGCCTTCGTCGATGCCAAGCCAAGCTCCGTCTCGATTCGTTCTCCTATGCGAAGAGCCACAACCAAGCGAAACCCCTTCACAGCAACCATCGTCGATGCCGTCTACGCGTCCTTCTGTTTCAATGAAACCCAGCGTTTCAATGCAGCCGAGCAATTCTGCGGCTCCTTCGGACCAGCCCACTGTATCGATGCACCCCTCTCTTTCTTCGGCCCCAAGCAATGTTCCTTCTGTTTCAGCTGCACCAAGCAACATTCCTAGTGATCTTGCAAGCATGGTCCCCACAAGCGATTGCATCTGCTCAGAAATGCCAAGCCAGATGCCCAGCTCAGTTCCCTCACAGATAACTACGGTATCGGATGCCCCTTCGTCATCTTCCGCACCCAGTCAAACACCATCGACTAGCCAAGCTCCAAGTGTTTCTCCGTCATTACAGCCAACTCGATCGAGACCTTCGAGTGCACCATCCAGTATTCCCTCAAGCGCTCCCAGCACGGAGCCGACAATCACCTGCGTATGTTCTTCACGGGTGCCAGCCTGTCAACGAGATCCTTTCAGGACTTCCGGTATGTACAGGAAATTCCATACTATTTCGGGATGTGATTCCTTTGACTGGAAATCTCACTCTTTGTTTCCTCTCCTAAAGTTTTTCAGCTCAGCTCGAGTCCCAGCAGCAACCCTTCCGCAGCTCCCACTACATCGGAGCCCACACAAGAGCCCACACCAGAGCCAACCCCAGAGCCAACCCTTGCACCAACAGCAACACCATCATCTTCTCCCAGCTCAAGTCCTTCTCCCCAGCCACCACAGCCCACGTCTGCACCTACCAATGTTCCCAGCTCGTCTCCAAGTGTAGGACCTACCAACAGTCCATCAATCAGACCGTCTACTCTTCCAACTACAGCCCCTTCTGCTCTTCCCACGGTGACCCCAGGGCAACTAAGTGCCTCCCCAATTACATCCACACCATCCACAAGCCCATCTTCTGTCCCATCCAAAAGTCCTAGCACACTGCCAAGTTCTGAACCAACATCGGAACCCAGTACAACTCCAAGCACCACTCCAAGTGAAACACCATCAACAAGCCCATCTGGATTGCCTACCAGTTTCCCTTCAGCTTCCCCGTCAAGTGGTCCAAGTACAAGTCCATCAACTGGTCCATCAGCAGGACCACTTCATCTCCAAGCAATGGTCCCAGTAGCAGCCCAACTGTATCTCCATCTTCCAATCCAACAGTGACCCCAGGTCAACCCAGTGCCTCCCCAACTACATCCACACCATCCACAAGTCCATCTTCTGTCCCATCCACAAGCCCTAGCACACTGCCAAGTTCTGAACCAACATCAGAACCCAGTGCAGCTCCCAGCACCGGTCCAAGTGGAACTCCATCCAGAAGTCCATCGAGGTTGCCTTCCAGTTTCCCTTCTACCATCCTTCAGCTTCCCATCAACTGGTCCAAGTACAAGTCCATCAACTGGTCCATCAGCACGACCAACTTCATCTCCCAGCAATGATCCCAGTAGAAGCCCAACTGTATCTCCATCTTCCAATCCAACAGTGACCCCAGGTCAACCCAGTGCCTCCCCAACTACAACCACACCATCCACAAGCCCCTCTTCTTTCCCATCCAGAATTCCAAGCACACTGCCACGTTCTGGACCCAGTACAACCCAGCACCAGTCCAAGTGGCACTCCATCAACAAGTCCTTCAACAGTTCCATCAAACAATCCCAGTAGAAGCCCATCATCAGCCCCATCTTCTACTCCCAGTCATAGCCCCAGTGACCTTCCATCAACAAGGCCATCTAATGGGCCCTCTGCCAAGCCAACTAACAAGCCTAGCTCCACACCCAGTTCCTTGCCTTCCTTTGAGCCAAGTCTTGTCCCTTCTACAGCCCCATCCTCATTGCCATCTGCAGTTCCACAGCCCACTCTGTCACCCACTTCTACAGAGGACTGTTTACTCAATTGGTTCTTTGAAAATGCACCCCCAGAGTTCAGTGGAACCCTTATTGCTGACTATTCAGAGTACATCGCGGACAACTTTTCTTATGAACCCCTAATCAGCTGCTTTGAAGATACATGTGGATGTGTTCCAATCACCAATGAACCAACAACAGACCCTTCATCTGCTCCCAGCATGGTCCCATCTGTGAACCCCAGTTCTTCCCCCACTGCCCTCCCAGCAGCAACCCATCAAAAAGTCCATCTCTTGGCCCTTCACCAATCCCAAGCCACAGTCCAACTTCTCTACCCAGTATTGCCCCAAGTATGAGTCCTTCAACCGCTCCATCCTACACCAACAGCACCAACAGCAGCTCCTACAACCACAGAGTCTTGCTTGTTTGAGTGCTGTCAAGAATTCCCGGAGCATGAGGTTCCTGCATCCCATGAATGCTCCCAGTACACCTCCTTTTCCTTCATTCCTGCTCCACTTGAGTCATGCATTCAAAGCTGTGGTTGTGAGCAAACCATTCTCAGTCCTGCCCAGGCACCAACTTCAGCACCAACAACTACATCAATTGCTTGACCAGTTGTTACTTTGACAATTTTCCACCAGAATTCAATGGATTCTTCATCTCTGAGTGTTCTGAGTACATTGCGGAGAACTTTTCTGATGAGCCTCTGACAAGTTGCTTTGAAGAAAGATGTGGATGTGTGGCAATCACAAGTGCACCACAACAGACCCTTCGTCTTCTCCCAGTATGGTCCCAACTCTGAACCCCAGTTTTTCCCCCACTGCCCTCCCCAGCAGCAACCCATCAAAAAGCCATCCTTGGCCCTTCACCAGTCCAAGCCTTAGTCCATCTACCGCACCAAGTGTCACCCCCACTGCCCTCCCTAGCGGCAGTCCATCAAAAAGTCCATCATTTGGCCCTTCACCAATCCCAAGCCACAGTCCATCTTCTCTACCCAGTATTGCCCCAAGTAGCAGTCCATCAACAGCTCCATCCTCTACACCAACAGCACCAACAGCAGCTCCTACAACCACAGAGTCTTGCTTGTTTGAATGCTGTCAAGAATTCCCGGAACATGAAGGTTCCTGCATCCATGAATGCTCCCAGTACACCTCCTTTTCCTTCATTCCTGTTCCACTTGAGTCATGCATTCAAAGCTGTGGTTGTGAGCAGACCATTCTCAGTCCTGCCCAGGCGCCAACTTCAGCACCAACAACTATATCAAATTGCTTGACCAGTTGTTACTTTGACAATTTTCCACCAGAATTCAATGGATTCTTCATCTCTGAGTGTTCTGAGTACATTGCGGAGAACTTTTTTGATGAGCCTCTGACAAGTTGCTTTGAAGATAGATGTGGATGTGTGGCAATCACAAGTGCACCAACAACAGACCCTTCGTCTGCTCCCACTTTGGCTCCATCCGGAAACCCAACTGTTGCTCCATCAGATTCACCAACCCAAGCGCCATCCAAGAGCCCCACTACTCCTCCAACAACGTCCCCAAGTCTTTCTCCAAGCAATTCACCAACAAAGAACCCCACTTCTCCTCCAACTGATGCGCCGACTCAGACACCCACTAATGACCCAAGCAGTGCCCCCACCAAAGCCCCCACCAATGCTCCCACTCAGACACCCACCCGAGCTCCAACTGAGCCACCCACGCCACCCCCAACAGAAGTGCCCTCTCCAAGTCCAACTTCTGAGTTGACGTTCGAGGGTTCAGATTTTCTAGCCTGAGATCATTCAAGTTTGTAAATGTATAGATATAGAAGCCTAAGCAATAGACATTCCTATAAGACAGTTAATTAATGTTTCCACATACATGTAAATCAAAGCAAGCCACAGCAATACTCGTACACATTGGCCTAGCTTAGCGGTAGCCGTACTTTCCGTGCAACCGATAACCTTCTCCCTATTGCAGAATCTTTGGATCTTTCCTGTTGAGCCAAGCGAAGCGAAGCATCAACATTGAAACCAACAGCCGCTCCCCATCTGGTCCATTCCCTCACATCAGTATTCCCCTCTAACCCAAGAGTAGCACGCATTCGTCATACCAGCCACAAGAGCTATATCCGTATCACACAAGAGAGAGACAGAATGTATTGGCGGGTTCAAGAGTTTGTATTCCTGTTTAGTTTGAGCGCAGCAGTTTGTCTCGCCTTGCGGCCGAACCGGCATTGCTCCAGTTGTCGTCCAACATTGAGTAAAAGTCACCTAGCTTTGGCAGCCGACGACAGCAATTGGTGGGAGCCTACTTGGACCGATGTCGAGATAATCAGCAACGAGGCGGTATCTGCCAGTGCCCGTGCCATTCGAGTGTCCATAACGGATGAGCTTCGTGATTCCTATCGAGCTCCAGGCCAGTATATTCAGGTCAAACAAGCCAATGCCGACGATGACGACAACCCAAACATGTGCTTTTTACCCTTGGCGTCGGCCCCACGCAACGACTATTTTGAATTTCTCGTCAAGACGAATCGAGACGACCGATCCTGGATGCTGGAACCGGGTGTTACCAAACTGCAATTATCGGGTGTTTTGGGCAAGGGCTTCCAACCACGAGAAATAGATGAGACAATAATGTCCAACGGAGAGAGACCCAACATTTTCGGTGCAAGTACCATAATCATGGCAGCCAATGGATCCGGAATGGCCTCTCTGAAAGCTGCCATTGAAAGTGGGCGACTCACATCCGGTGGGACTCTGTATTATGGGGAACGAACGAAGGAGGACTTGTGCTATAAAGATCTGTATAGTGAATGGAAGTCCAAGTTTGGATTCCAAGTGGTTCCTTGTTTGAGTCAACCCACCAAGGACGACGATTTGGAGGATTCGGTCACACCAATAAAGGAGGGCTACGTACAGGATGTCGTGTCTTCCAATGGCTTGGAGGAGCACGATCCAGCAACATGCTTTGCCTTGCTATGTGGCGTCATGGAGATGATGGATGGTGTTACAGAATTTCTAAAAGGTGAAGGGGTTTCTGTCAATACAATACTGCTCAACTTGGAGGGATGATCGGGTTGGTATCACATGGTGGAGTTTCTGGCTACACCGCGGGTTGTTTCATTGTAATTTACTTGGTCGCTACAAGGCTGTGGAGTCGACAGCAAAGATAAATGCTCAGGCGAGTGGATGCAAGACAACCAACTATCTGTTGTTAGCAGTGCTCACGATACATTTGGGCTGGCACGAAATGATGCCTCGGTCGACAGGTCGGGTAGTGAATGAAGATGGCTGCAAGGTACCGTACCCACGAAAACAAGTGTCAGCTAGTCCTCAAATACCTATTCAAAATGCAATCGATCCGTATACCAGCAATCAATCCAAACCATCAGATTCATACTGGGTAGTTAAAATAGTACGGCAAGATCAAGACGACTGCATGGGAGCTCGAGCATGCTTTATGGCAGGTGATTCTTTATCTGTTTGAACGCAATTTGGCCAATTGAAGGGGCTGTTTCACTAGCTAGCTAGCTAGAAAGAGTTTTGATCTCTTGCGTCATACTAGATAGTCAACTAGCTAGTATAGATAGCTAGCCAAAGAGCTGGCTGGAAATGAAGCAAGGTATTACAGCAACCTTGCGGGAAACAACACAGTGAAAGGACGAGGAGTGACACTCTCACCAAGAGAAGGTAAGAATATTTGGACCGATCTGCTGTTTTATTATAAGTCCCGGATGGTACAATGGTACCGTTTCCTATTCCCGCGCCAAAGTTCGACCCACTCTGGCAAAAGCGTGACACACACTGTGCCCTTCGTTATTAGATTAATAACCATCATTCAATCATTCGATATTGCAGACTACTAGTCTACACTGTACTGTACCTTTACGGCTGGTAGCTACCAGTACCTGGTACTTGGCCCGTGAGGGTGGCTGCGTTCTCATTTTCAGACTTATTCTTGTCATCAAGGCCAGAACTCATTAGCACGACTCGACTCAGATAATGCCGCCAGCGGTTGACAGGTACGGTAGTTTCTACAGGGATTCTGTACCGGCATCTACAGTATCTTATTACAGCGTGCTTGGTTCTCATCTTGCTTGGTGTCACCAGCGAGCCTCCTGTTTCTTCCTTTCTCTGTCAAAAGATTCTCAGTCATAATTTTGCAAACACAACGTTCCGAAGAAGAAGCATTTGCAAAAAACTAAACACAAGACAAAACAAAGCCAGAGAAAGATAGAAGATGAGCGGAGTCAAGGGTGAAGCGATGGACCGTGGGTCCGAGGCAATGAAGTCTCATTTGGCGGGTGCTTCCGTGATGGAGATGCGCCAAACCAAGCGAGGGTGGTGTCAAGAACTCATTGGCTGTGATGCCAAGACGGAATTCAAGTGAGTTTTTTTGACTGGTGATGGATGAGGATGCCAAAATGACCATGATGATTTTTGTTTCAACTGACCATGTCTCTCTTTTCTTACAGATACTTTATTGGAGACCAACAAGTGGCTCACAGTTTGGAAGACACGGATTGTTGCTGCCGCGTTTTCTGCACTGCCATTCATCCCTTCAAAATGGATGTCAAGGAGCTCAACACGGAAGCCTCTTTGCTGGAGTTGGATCGCCCATGCCGTTGCGCCGCGAGTGGATGCAAGTGCTGCTGCTACCAGGAAGCTACCATTACCAGTGGCGGACAGGAATTGGGATCCATGAAGGAAACTTGCTGGTACTGGTGAGTGTTTATTTTATTTTATGGTTGCTATGGCTGAATCTTGTTGGATTGTTTTTGGGGTTATTTACATCTTGGTTATCTGTTGAATTTTGAATTTCTCATAATATATTGTCGACCTTTCCGCTTTCTAGTGTGCCAGAATTTCAGGTCTTTGACCACACCGGCAAAGGTATTTACAGACTCCATCAACCCACATGCTGTGGTGGATGCTGTGTCAATTGCTGTGCCGAGGGAAATCCTTGTTGTGGAAAGGGTTGCTGCAAGGTGCCATACCATCTTTTCCCTTTCGACCAGGCAAATACCAATGATGCCGAACACATTGGAAAAATTCTCAAGAAACCAAAGAGCATGATGACGGAAATCTTTACAGAAGCAGAAGTTTTTGTAAGTCAAAGTTTTTTTTGGGTTGTTTTGGGGGGATTTGATTTTGCAGAGCATTGCTGACCTAAAAATTTGTTTTTTGTGATGGTAGGAATGTACATTCCCCAATGATGCCACTCCCCAGCAGAAGGCCCTCATTGTTGGTTCTGCCCTCATGATCAACGCCATGTTCTTTGAAGGAGAGGACGACAATGATGGCGGCAGTTAATTTGCTGAATTGCAAATGGATGGATAGATAGGAGCTCTTCGGGGCCCTATCGTGCCCTTTGCCTTACATGACGGCTGGTACTGTGCTGGTACTGCATTCAGGTTGTGCGTGTTTCATATTATGACGTGGTGATGTTCTGTAAAAGGGGATGAGAAAATCTCCTTGTGGCAATGACCCGGCGTTGATGTGGTGGCCGATTGTATCGGTTCTCTGGCGTCGCAAAAGTGGCTCTGTTGCCTAGAATTTGCCTTCCAAGGCTCCAGTAATAAAAGGTCAAATTAATTTGATGTAGTTTCCTCCGGACTAGCTTTTTCATCCAAAGTTGCTTTTATCATTACTATTTAGTCCTTTCTACGGCTCCATTGTGCTGGCAGGATGTGAACAGAACAATGATGATCGATGGGCAACTCCTGGAAATACAATACAATACAATACCAGTAGGTACAACTGCAACGAGAAACATTGACGACCTTGCCCGGGACCACAAGCAAATCCGTAATCCACGACGCCTCTTCCTTCCTTGATTTATTTGTCTTCTTTCAATGCTTGATACAGTGCAACCATGCTCATGAGCTGAGCCCCGGGTCCCAAGGCAGCAGCCGGCGCCATAGAGGATGATGACGACGATGCCACCGAGGCCCCGTCTCCTTGAACGTTCTCGCGGCGGGCCGTCGACACGGGATACCAAGAGACCAAGTTGGCGGGTGGCAGATACGCAGTGGGTTGCACGCTCCTAGTACGGCGCGAGGAGTGATGGCGATCCTCCTTGGCAATCTTTTGCACCAATTGCAAACCGTGTACCAGCCAGGATTGGTTCACCGCCATCAAGGGGGATTGATGGACGTGTTGGTTCTTGGAGATTTCGTCAAAGAGGCGTTGCCATGCGGGCTTGGTGGCGCTGCCACCACTCTGGAAGGATCCTTGAGCCGACGACGCATCAGTGCTTGGAGGCGACGACGTTCCAGCAACACTGGTGGTTGGATCCCACGGCGGCATCCAGACACCATCACGGGACAACAAGTCACCCGCGACGCCCAGTTCGTCCTGGAGCAAACCGCAAAACACTCGCAGGAACAGCTGTCGACAAATCCGGTGCTGCTGCTCATGACGAGGAGCTTTGGGTGTGGTGGTGAAGAGCTGTGACGACCCACCAAATAGGATTCCACGCCACACCAAAAAGGCGGCATCCATGGAAGAATGTTCCTCTTCCACCCACAATAGTTGGCACAAACTGCGACGAGCCCAGTCATCGACCCACTGGTTGTTTTTGGCAGTAGTGCTGCTGAACGCAAATGACAATTGCTGCGCCAAGTGTGTCGTCAGTGCCTGTAGAGTCGACCAGGCAGCTTTCTGCTCTTGAGGAAAAGACGAAGCAAGTGTTGCCGGCGACTGTCCATGGTTGGAAATTTTCTTGGTTTTCTGGTCGCCAACAAGACACGATGCTGTACGAATAGCAGTGGCCATCATGCCGTCCAAATGTTCTTGCTGCTTGGACTTCATCTGGTGGCGACGATCACACGTCGTCATAGTCGCGTCGTCGTCGTCGTCATTGCCGTGTTTCGCTCCTTCGTCGAAAGATGATTCCATGGTACGCAATCTCTTGGTCGCAGCAAGAGGTTCCTGTAGAGACTCCTGTCGTTTCAATGGATTGCTCCGAGTTGTGACAGTCGTCGTCATCATGTCATTGGTTTGGCGGCATTGGTGCTGTCGATTCTTCTTCTTATGCTGGAGTCTCTTCCTGACCAACACTAGCGCCAACGCCGTCCGGAAACAGGCCATCTCTTCTCTTGTCAATTTGTTCATCTTGTAGTTGATTGAAAGGCGTCTTCTTCTTCTTTCAACCACAGCAATGACATTGATTCTAAAAGGAGAGCAAGCGTATGCACGAAATGCACCAAATCCATGACTCGACTCCGCAAGAATGATCAATCGAATCGAATGATTCGATTGATTCGATTCGATTTGAAATCGGTCGACAAAGATCGCGATCTTTCGATCTTTGGGGTCGCCTTCACCATCTGTCGCAGATGGCAGCTGCATCCATTTAAAAGCTGTTCTAAAGGAAGAAAGAAAATAAATACTAAATAGATACGTCCTTCCATCGCTCTGCAACCAACACATCCAACGACATTGCACTAAAGACAGGCATCGAAAGCTACGGTACATCATTTGTGGTTATCTTTCTGCCTTTGTCGATCCCGAATCGTTACTCGTCTTGCCGCATCGTCTATCTTGTTGCCACTCATCAGTTAGTTCACTACAAAATGTCCCGCCGTAGTAGACGCAGTGCAGCCCCGGCATTCCCCGCCCTTTCGGAGGGTATCCAGAATGGATTGCGTCGTCTCGTCCAAGACAATGCCGAAACGGTCGCCAAAATGCTGGATACCACGGAGGAAGATGATACAGATGCCTTGTGCGAAAAGTGCGCGCAAGTCATGAAGCAACAGCAATTGTCCGCCAGTTCCTTTATGGCCCGATTTTTCGATACCACATTGCTGGCCACTCAAGCCGAGCTTTACCAAAAATCAAGCAAGGGATCGGCCGCTAGTTTGGCCGATCGGATTGCCATGGCGTGGGGACAACGACGAGAACCAAAAGAGGCAACACCAAAAGAAAAATCATCGCCGTCCAAACGCAAACGCGGCAAGGCTGGCGGCTCGAAAGACGACGACGCGAACAGTGACAAGGATGAGGGCAGTGAAAAGGAGGATGAAGCGGCAACCAAATCCAAGAAAAAGTCCAAGAACGATGAGGGCAGTGAAGATAAAGGGGCAACCAAATCCAAGAAGAAAGCAAAGAAGAATGAGGGCAGTGAAGATGAAGGGGCAACCAAAGCCAAGAAAAAGTCCAAGAATAATGAGGACAGTGAAGATGAAGGGGTAACCAAATCCAAGAAAAAGTCAAAGAACGATGAGGGCAGTGAGGATGAAGGGGCAACCANNNGAAGGGGCAACCAAAGCCAAGAAAAAGTCCAAGAACGATGAGGGCAGTGAAGATGAAGGGGCAACCAAATCCAAGAAAAAGTCAAAGAACGATGAGGGCAGTGAGGATGAAGGGGCAACCAAAGCCAAGAAGAAAGCAAAGGACGACGAGGGTAGTGAGGGTGAAGGGGCAACCAAAGCCAAGAAAAAGTCAAAGAAGAAGAAAGCCACAAAAAAGTAGCGCGGGCCACAAAATCTTTCTATTGGTTCTGATGAAGGGCGGCATCTAACGGGATCATCAGACTTGCGGCATATTGGTTGAATACACCCCAAATCCTAACTGCCTGGATGGCTTTTAAAGATATGCCTTTTTTTTAGTCCGTCTTGGTTGCAACAGAAGAGACCTTGCTGTTGATGGCATTCAGACCATCATGGCTCTGTGCCGATTTGCAAGAACATCAACATCGTATGCGGTAGCCAAACTACCATACAATGCCCTGATCTTCTCAACAGTTTCGCCCATGGTAAAAGGATCATCATTCACACCACACTGCTCATCGCTCAAAAACCCTGCGCCTTTCGATGCAAGCGACAAAGTCAACTGGGCAAGATTTAGAATAAAGCGCATAAGTAGGATCCAAGCACTGCTGCAGCCCAGCATAAAATGGGGCATAGGTGTTGCAAGTTTCCGAACCGTGGTACTAATATGGAAGAGCAAAAGAAGATCGGCCTATGGTGAGAGAGCTTTAACCTACTAAAAGGCAGACAATGTTTCATTCCACAGCATAGCAGGTCGTACAGGTTCACCCCAAGTTCCACTACTTTGATCATCAGCAGCATCAAGGCAACAATAGCCAGGAAGATTCGGGACGTAGTAACTGTCATAATTGGTAGGTGCTTGGAATCAAACAACCATAGGGTTTCGGTTGAGGTCCCTATTCATGTAGGTCCCTCCAAATGTCGAGCACTTGCCCTGGCTGTGTTGGGGTCCATTGCATTGCAACCACAGTTGAGCCCAGGCACATGATCCCATTTGATTGCTCATAAAGGAAACTTTAGTGAGGCCCCAGGCCGCCACCCCATGTGCATTTGACGTATGCCGTGTCATGAGTTGTCTCCCGTCCTCCAAGACCTTGACAGTTTTTTTTGGCAGCCAGAGAGGAGGAAAACTACAGAGATGACAAGCAAAATGTTGTTGTCAGAACCACATCCAATAGACTTCCATGGATCCTTCTCCGAAACAGCTTGCCTCCGATTGTGCGCTCGCGCACTCAAAACCACCCCTGTTCCTGATTGCAGGGGTCATTCCACTGTCCAATGTCCACGGCTTGGGGCAAACCCTCTGTGAGTATGTATATTTCTCAATGTGGTCCTCTGCAAGTGCTGCGACTTGACCCAATGATATCTCACCAAAGATTCGTGTGATCGACCGCATAACGTCGTTCTCCGCCTGCTTTTTCTTGCTATATCAGTCCCTGACACAGGAGCCCAGCATTTGTAGGGGCTCTTCCAGGGGTCAACGACAACCCATTCGCCATCCAGTTCTCGTTTATGTTCGTTTTCGCGCAATTTGCTCACATGCACATCAACACCATAGGGCAGTGTGGCATATATGCCATGCAAAAATGGTACAGCTTCCGCATTCTGTCAAATTGTTTCAAAGGGCAACGACTTGGTCGAAAGACGGATGCCATCATGCGGCAAGAGGGGAGACCCTTGAGCCACAGCTCTGGTTGTAGTGAGATGGTAGTCTTATCGTTCCTAGTGCCGTGTCAAGGTTCTCCGGGGCCTCTGCCTGGGATTGGGATCCCTTGTTAGGCAAGCCCCGCAGAACCAGCAAGGAGAGCTACACGTAACACACAAGAGGGGAGATCAAGAACTGAACCGCCCAATCAAGGATTCATTCAGGATTTTCTCTGGGATCTGTTGGAAGCACTGATGCCCTTCTTCACATCAGCCAGTGCATGATGACCATAGTGGGCTCTCTTTTTTTATAGGCTGAGCAACTGCCGAAACGGAGCACTGATTCGGAGACGAAGGCTAAGCATTCCAGTCCTGACGTGTTTCCTCCTCCTCAGAGCACCCGGATCCAATCGCATCATTGTTTGCCTTTCCCGCTCCACAAACTGTGGTGTCCGCAACATCAAGATGCACAACCCCATCCTCCAGTGCAGGACCAATGAAATCATTTCTGCCTTTGTCGGTACAGGCCCCTGTGGAACCCTCTTCAGCAGAAACACCCTTACTGGTTGCTCTAGAGAAAGGCCACTTGGATACCCAGGGGCGATCATTCCGGAACTGGTCAACACCGCGTCGAGATTTTCCGACGGAGCCATCACTAACACGTGTATCGTCAAAGGTTTCGTTTGCTTGTCGTATTCTGCATCGAAGCAGATTGACAGTGGCTTCTCGGATATCAGATTTCATCAAACTAAAGGCGGATGTTACACTTCCGGTCATTTGGGACCAGAGGCCAATAAAATAGCAGGTCCGTATGTTGTCTGCTCCCACCATTACGGTGATGAGGGCCGGAACCCACATTACCACCAATACCAAAAATATCCGGAGAAAGAAAATGGCAATCTCTCGAGTCCTGCCATTTTTGGGTAGGAGTCCACCTCTAAGAATCTGTACCGCATCAACGCATACAAAGAGGATGGGAAAGATTACCAGAGGCAGGACGGAAATATATGCAATCTTGGTAGATGTCTCCCCAGTAAAGGGCATGCAGGATTGCCCCTTAAACGAATCTGTTTCTAGAGCAAACAGACAAATGATACCCCCAATGCACCCCAAGAGGTAGCTAGCGCTGACAAAGCCAAAGATTCGCTTTTTCGAGGGAGGAAATGACCTTTGTCTTCGGCTTGAAGCTTCCAGCAAAATCTTGATTTCGTGAGCTACCACTGCATTGAGGTTGATGTTTGATACCAAAAAGAAAACCAATGCACAGGATTGAGCCGTACACCAATGGCCATAGAAGCTTCCGTTGATTACCATGGCAAGAAACTGTATGCCACAAAAGCCTGTGTACAAGATATCAGGGAACATAATGGCTAAGAGGTATTGGTTAAAGCCATTAATTCTGGTTTTCTTGTTGAGGATAATGGAAAGGAAGACCAGAGTGTTGAAGGCAACAAAGATGGGGAATAAAACGGCGTAGCCGATCCACTGTTTCACCAGGACCTCATCACTGGGCGCTGCAAACGTAGATTGAATTGAATGCATGGACGACAAGAGTGAGCAAATTGAGAGGGCGCCATCGCAGCAGACTCGACTCCGGAAGCGAATCAATACAACCCAGAATGCACTAATAACTACGTATTTTCTATGGCGACTGGAATTGAATGCGGAGACTCTCCTGATCCTGAGAACCAAACCCTGAGGTATCCAACTTACCCGCTATCAAATGATCATGCCGCGTCGAGGTTTCGTTCAGCTCCCATATCCGGATTTTAGGATACCCCAGGGCGTGCATTGCCAATAGGAGCTACCGGTACCGGTATCGGTACGGCAGGCAAAAAACCGGAATTCTTGATGTGTACTGTAGGGGTACCTGGTACAACCTCAATCAAACGGAGCAATGGCGGGTGCAGAGCTGAAGAGGACAAGCACCATCGCGGTGGCAACAGCAAGGCCATTGGATGCAGATAGATGTGCTGATGCTGCAGCATGCTACTAGCTAGCTACTAGTAGCATGCAGCCTTTTCCCAGCGAGAAAATTGATTCATAAGTCTTCCTTTGCCGCATCTCTGTCTCGAAGATTTAAGATTAGCTCTACTAGTATGTATGGTCACGTATGGTATTACAACAGACCGGAGAAGGAACTTTTGGGCGTTGCAAAGATTCGATTGAAGCTCCGTTCAGGCAGGCACAAGATTTGTTATTGTTTCTCAGCTCTCTCTTCTAACAAGTCTGCAGTGGTATGAATTGGGTGCGTCTGCCCAAGGAAGCACTTGCACCTCCAGAGCAAACTTAACCACAGTTGAGTGTGATACGGCACGGTGCTACTTTTGATTCGTTTCTTCAGCAAAACCTCCAAAAACTTGTCATGCGGCGCTCACTTGCAGACCGTGGATCTTGGGTCTGTTATAACACGATGGGACACCTTCGTGCTCACAAGACCCTTTCCATCTTGCTGCTAATGTTGCTGATAGTCATGTACAGATTCTTGCTTGTTCAAAAAGTTGTTGATAACGCGTCTTTGTACGATTACTCTGCACACAACAAAAGCAAGACTTGTCAACGGACAAAGATCTTTCCATTCAAAATAGGATGTCCTGCACGCTGCGAATGGGCGGTTAGTGAAGATGAACCAATGTACCGTATGGGGGTGACATGGTGGTTTGGCGAACCAGAAAAGTATCCCCTGGACCACCCAACAGCCTATTCCAAGGGCATCAACTTTCAGTGCTCCAATGAGTTTACCGAAGCCTTTGGGTCCTCCTCAGATTTGCTCCACAATTCATTGGTACAGTCACTTCCTAACACCACTGGGACCTTGATCATCAAACGACAAAAAGTCATGCACTTGGCTCTTTCCTATCTCTGCTGCCTTCGAAAAAATGAAACCGACCGGGTTCGAGAGATTGCCTACAAGTGGGTCCAGGATGTGTCGCCTTTTGAGTTCGAAGTAGCCTTCGATAGGGTTGAATGCTACCACGAGCGGCAGAATTCTGTGACTACCATAATTGTTGCCGATGCACGTTCTCAGCGGACCATTGCTTCCATGAATCAAGAACTCAATGAACGCTTGCAACGAGCTGGAATTCCGGTGTCTGTAAAACGGCGAGATCAAATGCCCAGTCATGTTACATTGCAAGGTGTTCAGTATGGCAATGACTACAACATGCTTGAGAACGACATTTCCAGCTACCTGCCTCTGATTTATGACAAAGTTTCTGACTTGTCCCAGACTATGGGAAGTTCATGGACAGGAAAGTCGCCATTTCTACGGTCGGTCCCCCGCATGGTTATCAAACATGCACCATATTTTAGTTTCAAAGGATCCCTCCATGCTGGCAAAGAAAAGAAGTGAAGTGAGTGTCTGCAATGAATTTTTAAAATGTTTATCGTTGCTTCAGTTGGAGTTTTGTCTTCTTCTCTCCGTCTACCATGATGGGCCAGAGCAAACTAAGTTATGCAGTAACTAATATGTACCTTAGCTTGGAATCAGAAACTCTGGTGTTGCTGGTTCAGTTTAAAAATTAAGCATTATCATGGCCAACGTGACCGTAACGGTGCCGTACACCGGCACCGTCATGTAGCTCATTAGGGCTAGGGATGACCTCCGAAGATCCAAACATCATCCGTCGTGTCAACCAAAAAGCAACGGCAACCATGCATCCAAGAGCTTTTGATGCATTGACGAGGTTTTCTGTGCAATCAAGCCCCATCCGCAGGCATCTACTACAATAGCAACATCGACAGAAACGACACCATGAGCGACGATTCAGCAGCTGCCGTAGATGTTGGCGCATCTTCTGATTTCCCAGAAGGAAAAGGATGTCAAGTAGACGTCAAGGGAAGACCCCTGAGTATCTTTCGAAAGGATGGCACCTTGTATGCCTTGGATCTTCATTGTTACCACATGGGTGGACCCCTGTCCATGGGTGATATTGAGGATTTGACACTTCCAGAAAAGGGAGAATCCGTGGTTCATCCCTGTGTGGTTTGTCCCTGGCACAAGTACAAGATATCCTTAAAGACTGGCGAAGGAATCTACGTGCAATCCGACCCGTTTGCAGCCGGCGGCGGCAACAAACAAGTCAAGTCCAGAGGACGCAAACAGCGGACGCATCCAATCCTTGAGGATAGTGATGGACGAGTCAAAGTCCAATTGAATCTATCCACAGATACCAAATTTGAAAGTGACTACTACGCTACGGAGGAAATGAAAGAATTGTTGGCAAGGCAGAAGAAGGGATAGACACAGCACACAGCACGAACTCAATACAGCACAGCACAAAGCAACACAAATTACCAAACTGATGCTACGGTGCATCAGTGACAAAACGACACTATTAGTGCAAGACATTAAGCGCGTGTGCTGGGTCCGGTAGAAATATACCATGTCCTTAGATTCATTCCTTTGAAAGCTATATGAGGCAGCCGTCGCTTGTTTCCAATGAATGGGTGGACTAGCTATATGCTGCAGCCGTCCATTGTTTGCTATGCGCAGGAGAATCTGTGCTGAACGAATGTGCATCAGAAACAACGGGAGAGACAGAGGTTGGGCTGCTTTTCCAGGGAAGACATGGTGATGTGCTTATTATGTTGGTGGAGACATTCAAGTCGACTTGTGCCTCTTGGAATCCACGTCTATGATGAAGGCGCAAACTGGCCAGCCACCATACTCCAATAATACACACGACAAAATGAGAGTATCCGACCATGTTCAGAACGATGCCGACAATTAATTGCGACTGACCCATGATGTAGACTCGAGCAATGCGGGAGCCTTCGGCACCACCCAACAAGGAGACGATGATATCGTTGCTGCCACTACCACCGAGAACATCCGAAATCAGCAAGTGAAACAGGGCCTGATGGAAAGGAACAGAGATTGGACGAGGCGATTTTTTTGGGGGGGGGGCAGCTCAGGGCGCCCTGAAAGAAATGTATTCCGCGATGAACAGGATCGAGATGGCCACACCGAAAGCAATGGACGACACCTTGATCCAAGGACGAGAGGCAAGCAAACCAGCCGAGAGGAAGTTCTCGTCTCGTTGGGCAAAACGAAAAGACAGCTATTGGAAGAAGGCCCTCGCCGATTCTTAAGAAGTTTCCCTCCCACAGTACAAAAGCTTCTTTGATGATGCCTTCCATCCGCGTGAGTCCCTCCCCATTGTTGGCCATTCGACTGTTATGAGCATAAATAAACGATCATGCCAATTCACGTAGAAAGAACTAATCTTGTCTCCTTCTCCGTTCTTCAGTCTCGTACAAGGGTCGCTGCCCCCTCGAAACGGTCAGAAGTGATATGGCGTTTGGTAGATCTACTCGAGAAAGAAGAAAAAAGAGCCGGGGTGGCATCGGGGCTCCACTGCTTCGGGAGGGCACTGGGGTACCACTGCTTCCACTCTTCTCGACGCAACATGCCATCCATCGTCAGGAGTCGCTGACGATGTGACTGCGTTCCTAGCCGCCAACAACAACCCGGGAGCGCTGACGATGAGGTTTGCTGAGAAGAGCTTACCCTGCGAATCTCGGATTCTTGGAGGCGCGTCTGAGGGCTTGGGGTTTTGCCTCAGTTGAGGAAGTCACGGCATTCGTACCTGACAATCATGGGTCACTTCATTTCGTTTCCAGCCTCAAGCATGCCGGATATGACTCTGAAGCTCTCCATTGTGCAGCAGAGATGCTGTTTGCACACCGAAACAAGCCCAAACCACGTGCGTTTCGAAAGATGAGGCGACGTGCTCGACGTTCGTAAAGCATGGGTTGGCGGGCGCCTCCTTTGTCGATGTTTCGATCCCAAGGTGCGCTCGCTGATTTGCAGAAACCTGTCCCAGCTGTCCTTGGAAGGTTTCGACCACATTCTCAGGTGCTTGTCGGTGCCCAGAACTGTTAGAATGCCTGTGCCTCGACAGCGACGATTGATTTGACCGACGACAAGGCTTCGTCTCCGGCAAAATTCACGCTCCTGGAAGTGCTGTTTCGAGCAACTTCTACAACGTGGATTTGACGGTGTCTCTCAAGAATCCGCTCTTGGCAGCAATCATCGTAGTAGGTCTGGTTACGGCACGCCTTTTAAGTCTTGAGAAAGCTGACAATTAGACGAACGGCCGATTCAAGTGTGTACGGTCCTGGAGCCTTTCCTTGCTTAGGTGACGTCTCCTTTGGAGCTGACGCTAGATGAAGCCAATCTTGGGGAGCAATGGAACTCGGATTGGAGTTCGGACCGTGGATGTGTCGTAACACCGGCCTGCTTGTCCGGACCATCGACACTTTACCCAAAGCAAAGAAACTCACAAGTGTTGGGATTGGTTCCAGGCATCCTGGCTACTGGGAGACGTCTCGAGGAGTCGAAGAAACTGTGGACGTGGCAGACTGTATGCTGCGACTCATCGGGGAAAAGCAAATCGAGAGGCATTGCGTCGTGGGCTCACCCAAACGCTACAACAGTCAGGATTTTGGTTCGATTTGCTCCATGCTACATCGAGGCAGGACATTGAAACGTCTCGAGTTCCGCCATGCTTCGGGCAGTGCTGGAAGGCTGTCGCACGCGCTACTCGCGCTCATGGAATCGAACGCTACATTGGAGGAGCTCAATTTCTGTGATGACGCGGGAGGAACACTTGACTACACGGCCTTTTCTCTCTGCCGAGTGAGCAGACTTGGTTGGGTCGTGGGGAGTCGAACGAGCTTGCTTAGATCTACTTCTCTTGGAGTTCGAGCCCGCCAACTGGCTTCCGTGAGCAGCTGAGTGTGCCAAAGCTAAAGACTTGAAGCCTCGATCCCAGGTTTTTCTCACTGGACAGTCTATCTCCGCTATCCGAAAGAGTCTTCTTGGTGATTGAATGATTCATTCATACTCTCCAGCTATGGTACCTTGTAGCATCCTAAGAACAACTAGCTAGACAGCCAACCGGATGCAAAACGATATGACGATGTACAATGGACTGGCTCACACCCCTCCTCCACTTCAAGTTGTCTGCCTCACAGGCACACGGACCAAGCTGATGAAGACATAGGTGTGCACCCAACAGTACCGGTAGCTGCGGCTTATTCTAATTTAAGGCAGTACGGTAGCATTGGGTCGATACAACCAAATTGTTCTTTGTATCCTACCGAATCTACGACTGTACATCGGAATCAGAATCAACCATCAACGTCATGTGGACAAAGCGCATTGCTGGTATGCCAACGATAATGGAGGAACACGGCAATAATATCTTGGCATTCAATGACAACGTTCGATCCATCCAAAAGCAACTACTGGTGCATACCAGGGGAGAAAATCCAAGCTTCCTGATCCCACAACTGGTCTCGGTCTACATGGATAGCGAATCGGAAGATAGTCCTTTCTACCGTTACATTGAGCAATTGGAGAATAGCTACCTGTACAACGATGGAGCTGATCTCACCACGGTCAAGGCCGATCAGAAGTACAAAGACTTGCTTGAGAAGGATCAGATCAAAGGGAATACCAAGAAAGACATCGCTATCGTTGCACTGACTACAAAAGGCGGAAGAACTCAAGGAGACGCGCGAGGAGCTCAAGGATGGTGGAGCGACGAATCCTAGCGGGAAGGCCCAGGACGAAAACTAGCAAGCCACCGAATTGGGCATTCAAGGAACCAAAGGAAAGAGAGCCAAAGACCTTATCCTAATTTAGGGTACCAGGTAGTACCGGCACCAGGTACGGTAGCATTAGCATTGGCCGAGCTATTGGCAGCTGGCTTATATGTACCAGTACCTGGACCGTCCGACGGTTTTTGCTCAGGTTTAAAAACTGCTCAAATCGTGGTTCTGGTTTTTTAAAAGGGAATGTTGAAGCTTTAAGGGAATGTTAAGGGAATGTTGAGGATTTAAGGGAATGTTTTAAGGGAATGTTTATTTAAGGGAATGTTCATTTTGTTTAAGGGAAAGTTCTATGGGGTTTTCATGAAGGCTTAGAGGAATGTTTCGAAGCGTTAGGGTAATGTTGTTAAGGGAATGTTGATTTAAGGGAATGTTAAGGGAATGTTAAGGATTTAAGGGAATGTTTTAAGGGAATGTTTAAGGGAAAGTTTCAACTGCAAAATTTTGAGTTTTTTTTAAACCTGAGCGAAAACGGTCGGACGGTCCAGGTACATGCAGGTTATAGCATTGGGTTTCGGCAGTCTGCTTTATCGGCACTAGCTAGCTAGTACTTAGTCTAGACCACATGTACGTGGTACGGGTACGTTTCTGTACCGTACCACCGGTACCGTACCGTACCGTACCGGTACAGCGTGAAGAACGGTGAAAGTATCCGCGAATGCTATTGAACTGGTACAGGTTTGGTACCATACCGGTCCGCATTGCTTGGTGAAAGCCTGCTTTCGCGCCAATTTGAGGTGCTCCATTAACGGTCCTCCCTAAGCACAGACCAGGAAACGTCCAGTGAACTCAGAATCCATAATTACCATAAGTATCCACTTTAATTCATCTGCTGAAACGTTGAAGAAGCCTTTTCGAAAAAGCGGCATAATGCAACGACTCTTTGTCTGGCTGGCTGGCGCACCAGATAGGTTCAAATCTGACAATCGAAAAACGAGCCAAAAATAAAAAGCACAGGGTCTGCTTCCCCACATCTCGATCATCATCATCATCACACATTATACCAACAAACAAAGCAAAACTGGCAGCAATGATGGTGGACTGCAGCTTTGAAAAGTGGCTCAGGGGCGCACACGAGCAACCCTTCGTGGCGCAGTGGGCCGACAAGTTAATTGACTTGGGGGCAACCTGGGAAACCTTTCGCCGATCGGAGGATGATGTCATTGTAGACGACTTGGTTAAGGTCGGTGGCATCCCCATTCTGGCAGCACGCTATGTTGTGGGCATAGCAAAGGATGCCATTGCTCGCCGTAAGGCTCCGGCAGCTTTGTTCTGGGACCTGGACAAGCTGCCTATTCCATTGTCGTCTCAGGGTGCTAGGGAGATTACAGCTCGCTTCAAGTCCATTATGGCTAAGCATGGCTGTCTAACCCAATTCCGGGGGTATACTAGCCGCACGGATCAATCCAACACCTCGCAGCAAATCTGCCAAGACTTGCAGTTTTCCGGTTGTCAGATTGTCCATTGCCCTTCCAAGAAAACGGAAATGATGATCGCAGTAGATGCTATGAGGTTTGCCTTTTTGAATCCAGAGGGAGCTACCCTTGGATTCGTCACGGATGGCGATGAGTATGATTATCTACTCACCACACTGGACCAACCAGCCTGGCCGACCTCCCAGCCATCTGTTCGCGGCAAGGCGCTATTTCTATGGGACTTTGGTGGACGCCGGCAGTATTCAGGCGTGTCCAAGGTTGGGGTAACCAAGCAAAAGGGCTTTGGCCAGGGTTTCTCTGATGACATGGATGCCTCTTTCTCTTCTCCTGACAAAATGATGAACCACGTGTCTGACAATGTTATTTGTATCAGCACCACTGAAACTGAAAGCACGGCCGCCTCCGATGACTATGAGACTTGCCATGAGAAGACTGGTAGCATTGTGGACACTGACTCGGCATCCGAGGGCGACGACAAACCGGTCGAGGATACACCTTGTGCCGGTGGTTATAGTACTCTCGATCCCTGTGCTGGTGTGTATGAAGCCCTCCACAGTCACACACCGACTCCAGATATCCAGTTTGAAACCAACGACGAAGAGGCTCAACAAGCTTCTGATGCACCACAGTTTGAGACCGAAGATGACGAGCAGCAAGATTCGGCTCCAGCTGCCGAGGTAGAAGAGGAGGAAACGGAAGCCCTTGAAGAGGAAAAGCAAGCACCAGCTCCAGATGCCCGGGTTGTAGCCGAAGACAAAGAGGAAAAGAAAGCCCTTCAAGAGGACAAGCAAACATTGGCTCCAGATGCCCAGGTTGAAACCGAGGACAATGAGGAAAAGAAAGCCCTTCAAGAGGACAAGCAAACATTGGCTCCAGATGCCCAGGTTGAAACCGAGGACAATGAGGAAAAGAAATCCCTCCAAGAGGACAAGCAAGCACCGGCTCCAGATGCGCAGGTTCAAACCGAGGACAAGGAAGCACAGCAAGCAACATCTCAAGACATCGAGCGTGAAACCATCCAAGAAGAGGCTCCCACTGAAGACATTGCTGACTCTACCCACGATAACGAAGAGCCTTCTGCTGACGACGTTAATGCTGAAACTGGCGAGGACCTAAAGCAGACTCAAGCTGCCACTGTCTGGAACAAGTTTCCAGAAAAAAGCAAAGGTGACATGGAGCAAGACAAGAACATGGAGAATTGGGTCACAGTTGCACCTCCGTTCTTTGCCGACCAAGACGTAAAGTACCTCGTCAAGCTTGTCAAAGAGAATGGAGGAGCAAAGAAGAGCTATCTTGGCATCATGCTTCGCACAAGATACCCCGAAAGATTCTCCAATCGCGATGCTGTCCGAAGCTGTTTTGCTAATGCCATTGAATCTCGAGCTGTCGTTGAAACTGGGGAAGGGGCTTTCAAACAGCTCTATCTTCCATCGTCGCTTGGAGCTTCTGTTTCCGAGTATGAACCCAGACCCAAGGACGGAGACGCAGTCAAGGATCTTACCACGAAACAGCCAATTGTCGAAGCCACTCCGTCTAACTGGGCAAGCACCGCGGTGACTGGAGATCGATTGAACAAGAAAGCTGTCGACCGAGTTGTGTCATTGCTCACAATGATGGCGGAAAACGACGACATCTCTGTCCTCATGATGGTATTGAAGAAGCAAATCTGGAATCGTTATGGACGAGAGTGTCCTACAATGGAGGATGCGGAACTCTGGCTCCAGCAAGCACTCACCTCTGGGCGAGTGGTGCCTTTCAAGAAAAGCATCAAGGGATTGTGGTTGAGCCTGCCTGAAAACGCTCACTACTCCAGAGAGCACTTCCCCCCGGATGACATGGACACTGTCAAGGAAGAGGATCATGTCATGGGCATTCTCTGGAATGCTGATTCGTGGGTCTCCCGCAAGGATATCAATGAAAGCCTCAAGAAAGCCTTCCCAAAGACCATGAACACGCCCTTCCGCAGAACCAAGGTATTCATCAATGGGCATCGCAAGGGGAAGATCTTCTTCTCAAAGGGCCCGTACGGCCAAGTGGTCGGTTTGAGTGAAAACGATTCTCGCATTTCGCTCAACCAAATGGAAGAGGACATGAAGGCGAAGCTACGCGATGAGGCAATGGTCATTGAACATGCCCCGGACGAGGAAGCTCAGCCAAAGCAAGAGAAAGCCAAGAAAGAGGCCGCTCCCATCATGCTACGAGAGGAGGACTTTCCTTCCTTGCAAGCAGCACACAAACTTCCGTAGTTCCTCCGAACTTTCCTGGCTGGCTAACACTAGCCACACAATCATCAGCGCATTGAAGCAGTTTTAGGCATCATACTAATTAGGTTGGAGCAAGGCAACAAGTAGGTATCATAGGTAGGATGGCAACGAAGCTTTAAAAAGAAGAAAACTAATAATCAAAACAATCTACATACACGTCACTACTTTTTACAATAGTAACAACTAAATAAGAAATAAATGTACTGCGCACCTTGTAGACTCTGACTCGACTCCTTTGGATGATGAATGAATTGAGGGATGGGGAGCTTCTGGCTACATGCAGTTAGCTAGCTCCCCTCAGGGCCCTTGGACTCGCTTGGATCCTTCTGCAAGGCATTCTGTCGCTGGATGGCTTTGACCAATGCTCGATGGAATCGGGCACAGGAGGACGGGTGACCCAAGGGGACAAAATTTGTCATGACTCGACTCGACTCTACAGCCATACATGAGGCTGGGCATCACCACGATGTATTGCTGCAACCGGGGTTAACAGACAGCATGGGCAAGTGCAATCTTTCGTTGCTGGAAGGAGAACAACCAGATTTTACAAGTGCTTCATTACATGTATGCATATTATGTACAGTAGGAGCTCATTTTTTGGGAGAGACAAGGGAAACATGTGCTTGCTCTTGGGAGATTTGTTGATCCAATGATGAGATGCGATTTTGGCATGGGGAAGTACGGTACTAGTAGTAATCAATCTATGAAAAGGATGTAAAAAATGCACCGCCATTTGCAGAGGATACGGCAAGTTGTTGGTCCCGCCCAAAATGGCAATCAGGTGTTGGCAGCCAAGGTGGTGTTCAAGGGCAGCCAAATGAAGAGGAGATCTGCCATGCTGTCAAGCCAGTTCCTGAGTAAGTACCAAGCGGTGGCTAGCATTTTGCTGGTTCCAGGTAGAGTTGGTGAGCTTATCCCCTCGACCACAATCAATACCTCTCAATGCTTCTCCCACAAAACCACGGTTGCTTTGAGCCTTCCGATGCGCCATCAAAAGCTGGAAGAAGAAATTTCATGAAATTGAGGTGATTTAGAGTTTTTCCTGTCAAAATCTTTTTGAACTTGAGAAAACGATCAAAAAGATCACTTCCATCAAGCCACACAATCCAAACCTCCGCACCACCACCCAGTATTGTTGGCACTTGTCATTCAAGTGTTTGAGGTCCTTCGGAGAGGAGGCAGCATACCGGTAGCTACAATCAGATAGGGGAATTCAATCATAGTACAGTTATCCACGAAGTACCGGTAGACAAGTCGGTTTAGCAGAGTAGAGTACAATATACCTTTCGACATCTACCATACCATTCCGAGTATTATCGTACCATGACGGACACTGCTGCAAAAACAACAACAGAAGATGTTGATACAACGATTACACCGTTGCCCGATACGATCAAGGGCAAGGCAGACTGGAGAAGCTTTCGTTCTTTCCAGCTGGCCAATGGAGTGAGGTGAGTTCAGATACGGTAGATAAATGGAGTGGAGTTGATTGGCCTAGGTTTCTTGAAATTTCCTGATGATCCTCTTTCCTTCCTCTCTTGTCATACTGTATCATGCATCAGATGCACTCTTGTCCACGACCCGGAATCGAAAACATTCGCAGCAGCCGCCGTGGCAGACACAGGTGCCGGTGCCGATCCCCGTTCGATGCCTGGTGTGGCCCATTTCGTAGAGCACTGTTTGTTTTTGGGGTCCGAAAAGTACCCCGATGAAAACGGCTACAAATCCTTCTTGGCCGCCCACGGTGGTCGCAGCAATGCATCGACCAGTTTGCACACGACAACGTACAAATTCGAAATTTTAGCCGAGTTTGGAGAAGCCGCATTGGATCGCTTTGCCCAGTTCTTTGTGGCGCCGCTCTTTACGCGCAGTGGCACCGGGCGAGAAGTGCAAGCCGTCGACAGTGAAAACTCCAAAAACTTGACGGCAGACAATCGCCGACGATTGCAAATGCTCAAGGGATTGGCCGATCCGACTCACTACTATTCCAAATTCACCACGGGAAACTCGGCCACCATGCCCACGGCCAATGACGAACAATTGGAACAATTGCGAGCCACGCTCTTGGCATTTCACAAGAAACATTACACTCCCGATCGTCTCCTGGTCGTCGTGGCAGGACCACAGTCTCTCGACGAGTTGCAGGAATACGTCGTGTCCAAATTCTCACCCTTGCGTGCCCGAGAGTTTCCTTCTAACATTGCGGAAATGACAGATGCCGAACGTCAAGTCCACGAGGCGGCACAAGATTTACCCAACTATTCGTTTTACAAACCAATTCCTCCCTATCGACCACCCTTTCAATCCACATTGCAAAAGGACTTTGGCGGTTGGCCGGCTCTACTCACCACACGGCCCTTGAAATCACTCCGCAAACTCAGTCTCATGTTTCAAGTGCCGTCGGACCGGGAACATCCCGATCAAAGTCCCGTGCATGTCCTGAGTCATTTACTCGGCCATGAAGGGCCGGGGTCGTCTTTTGCCGTCTTGCAAAACCATGGACTCCTCAGTAGTCTTGTCGCGGGGCCACGCACGTCGGGACCTGACTTTTGTCTCTTTCAAGGTAAGCACGCAATCGTGGTCTTGCACAAACGTGTTTTACAGCTTGGGAATGTCCTTTCAAGTCTAAATGAATTTGTCTCTTTCAAGTTGAAATGAATTTGACCGAACAGGGAGAAGAACGCTGGCAAGAAGTGGCCGACGTTATTTTTGCCCATTGTCGACTCTTGCATCAGGCCGCACTGACATGTCAGCAGCAATCTACTACAGGTACTACGACAGATACCGAACTCCATCGCATTTGGGGGGAAGTGGCCGCCCTGAGGAGAATCTTTTTTGATCAAACATCGCCCGGTGGAGTCTACGATTTTGCACCCGGGCTCGTTGGGTCGGTGTTGGTGAATGGCACGGAAAAGTGCATGAGCTCAGGGAGCATGCTCAATGAATCGGCACAGACGTTGCCCTTGGAGGATATCATCAAGTTTGCGGCACTCCTTGTTCCCAGCAATTGTATTATCGAACGTTGCAGTCATGCCGCCTGGGATGCCATGGAACAACAGCATGGTGATGATGTAACAACAAAAAAGGAAAATGGCAACAGCACCATCATCAAGGCCGAAAAGCAAAAAGAGCCATGGTACGACATTGGTTATTACCTCGGCCAAATCAATCCCAAACAAATTCAACATTGGGAGGGGTCAAACGTAGAGGACAATGGCGGCAAGTTGGCACGCATCGATCACAATCTATTGCATCTGCCAAAACCCAATCGATACATTCCAAGGTCGCTCGAACTGTGTCCTGAACTTCCAGAAGAAGCCAAAGCAGGGCCTCGCATTGAAAAGGAGATTGATCCTCCCAATCTGCTCATCGACAACAAACTCGGTCGTCTCTTTCATCGTTTGGATGATCGTTATGCATTGCCCAAGTCATCGTTGACATTGCTATGGCGAAATGCGGCCGTTGAAAACGACCTGGTAGATGATTCTTCTTGGGAGTACAGTGTCTCGTCATCAGTCTACTCGTCGCTCCTCTCGGGGATGTTTTCGGAGCACATGGCACAAGACACGTACGACGCAGAACTGGCGGGGCTGTACTGGTCGTTATCCATGACAAGCTCGGGAATAAAATTGGCTTGTAGTGGATTCTCGGATCGTTTAGCGGACTTGGCATTGGTGGTTTTGGAAGAATTTGTCAGTGGGAATGCAGTGAAAGAAGTGTATTTGACAAACGCCCAAGACCGAGTGGTACGCAATCTAGCTACCTATTTTGCGTCGAGGCGCAGCGATTCCATTGCTGTTTACTATCGAGATCTGTTGATTGCGGCCCACGCATTGGGTATCGACAGTTCCTTGGAAGTTGCCAAGACGGTTACACTGGAATCTGCTCGTGAACAGCACAAAAAGCTAGTTGGGAATCCGCAAGTTGAGGTGGACTGTCTCTATTCGGGAAACGTCTCTGCAAAGGATGCCAAAGTCTTTTTTGAAAAAGCCTCGAAGCTGATCACGGATGCAGGTCCAGCGCACAGACTGAACTTGGAAGAAGAAAAGCTCTGGATTCCAGGTACGTTTTGCAGTTGCCACGACCATTCCTTGGCGCAATCATGTCTGTTGTCTGACGCTATTCATCAGGTCCTTTGGAGTATCAACTTCCAGCAGGCGACACGGCCTTGCACTTTCCTAGTAACAATCCAAACGAAGAGAATGGTGCCGTTCTTGTAACGTGAGTGATTTCGGACTAAATTTCGTGGGATGTTCTCAAGTTCTTCCCCTCAACATGTCCATTCTTATTTCTCACTCGAACCGAAATGATCAGGTATCAATCATCCGTTCCAGGCTACAAAGGCCCAAATCTTTCTTCCCCTGACAGCTTGCACAGCTCAGCCTCCATGCGATTGCTGAGTCACATCTTAAGGGAGCCTTTGTTTGATGAACTGAGAACCAAGCAACAGTTGGGTTACATTGTCCACTCGTACTACGACCTTGCCTTCTCGTCGAAGGCCCCAACCAAAGCTGGTTCGAATGAGCCCTTGATGACACCTGTAGATTGCCTTGTCGTCAACGTGCTGAGTAAGAAAGTGGCCCCGGCGGAGGTTGCCAAGAGAATTGATGAATTCTTGTTGGACTTTCGAACGACGTTGGAGAATACCCCCGATTCAGAGATTTCGGACCATGCCAAGGCGCTTTCAACAAAACTATTGAAACCGATTCAGAAATTGGGAACCGAAGCAGGTAAGGCGAGCGCGTCAAGGAGTGCAGGATCCGAGGTGTCGTTTTCCCCCACCATCCTCACACTTTTCTCCTACTTCGCCAGGATCACACTTTGGGAAAATTAGAAGATATGGCCCTGAAATCCTCATGAGCGGTGGCAGCGACCGCGATCTACCATGGGACAATTCCAGGGTCATGGCCGCCGCAATTCAAAATCTGAAAAAATCAGATCTGGTCAAGACGTGGGACCGCCTCATCCAACCCAAAACGAGATCGCGAGTAACATCACACGTCTATGGATCCACGTTTCCGCTTCCGCCAGATCTGAGCAAGGCAACGTCTTCGAGGAAGATTGTCAACAGCGTGGAGGATCTGGTCAAGCTTCGCTCCAAGTTGAATCGGTACCAAGAAGGTGCGACTAGCCAGGGCTTCACGAGTCAGTTCCTCAACCGATTGTCTTCGAACAAAGCGTACGCTGGTGCTGCGGCTGTGGCTATCTTTGGTGTTGGGTACATTGGATTTTCAATGCTCAACAAAAGCAAACGAGTTGGCAAATAATTGTTTAAACTTCAATTTTGTTCCGACCGCTTTCTGCGCTTAGCCCAGCCCGGTTTCTGTGCTTTTCTTGTATCACACTTCGGGCAAATTGTCGTCGAATGATGCGGCTTCGGTCATTCATTGTTGTTAGCCGCGGTCAGAGAAATCTGACTTCATTAGTTCTCGGGCCAAAAGTCGCCGTCTCTGAGGTCCTCCCTCCATGGTGCTTTTATCGGATCAGCTATCTCTTCTCAAACCAACGGCGTGCTCTCATTGCCCCCCTGCGAATTATTGTCGGACTCGTCCTTGGGTGCAGCCCCCGCCCCTCGTCCCGCTAGATGATACAAAAGCCAGATTGCGCTCAGAACCAGACCAAGGCAACTCATGCAAAACGCCACAAGATGGGCTCCCATATGCAATTGGTCTTGGAGGAACCCAGCAGCGTAGGCCGATGTTGCCTCAAACAAAAGTGCCAAAGCAAAATCAACTGACAGAACTCGACCCATCATCTCATCAGATGAAAACTTTTGCAAAAGAATAGAAGACAAAATCCAATTCACGGATGCGCCTCCTGCACGGACAAGTGTGAAGAAACATATGCACCAAAATGGTTCAAAAAAGGCAATGCCCCCAAATCCAAGTGCCGAAATCGCGAGAGATACAATACACATTTTCTGAATTGATGTTGGATGTTTCATGTCGACAAGCCGATCTGCCATTAAGGGGAACAAAAAGCAGCCAAAACCCATGCAGGCAAACAGCACACCCAATCGTGTGGATGTATAGGGATCGTCCATCCCATTGGGCTCCGAGAAGCTGACATTCAAGACATCACTGGCACCAACTGAAACACAGTTGGATGCCTTCAACAAGACCAAAGCTCCAAAGAAGGATGTCCTCAGGTAATTGAAACCGTCCACAGCCATGCCCTTGATTTGACCCAAAACCGTCAAATGTTTCTCCGCATCCGATGCAACATTCCAAGTGCCCCCAACAAGGTACATGAGGAAGGCCGATAATAGGTAGGTGCAAGAGTCCAAGACTTTTGCCATTTGCGGTCAGTTAGGGTATTCTCGTAGGCAGCAGTCTGGAACCACATTTGATGCAGCAGCACAACATAACTTACAGAAGCATGCACGAAAACCCAGGTATGTTAGCACAACGCCTCCCAATGCGCTACCGACTGCCGCAAACAAGGACCACGACAGTCCCTGAATTGTTGTTGCCTTTTTGAGATAATTGTCCGATTGAGGCATGTCGGCCACCATCAAAGGTAGGATTGCGGACACACATGGTTCGTACAATCCTGATATTGTTTGCTGCAAAATGGTGACCAGATAAATTATCAGAATGGACCTGTAGTACATGGCCACTAGAAAGAAAAGGGGGCAGATGGACCCCAAAATATCCAGGAGAATCATAGTCTTCCGTCGATCAGCTCCATCCGCTAGAATGCCACCAAAGGGACTTAAGAAAACGTTTGGAAGCAGCCGTACCACCACCAAGATACTAATGGTAGTCCTAGATGTGGTCCCCGTGTCAGTCAGAAACTCCTCCGCCAATGCAATAGAGGCAATGTAGGTAAGCCACTCACCCATGTGCGTGATTATGAATGAGCAAATATAGAGTCGAAAAGCACGGTTTTTCTTCATCAGATTCCAGTAGGTCGCCTCCTCTTCCACTTTTTTGGGTTTCCCCAATTTGTGGACGCTCTCGCTGCCATTCTCCGTCGACCCATAGCCATTGCCATTGGTTGTGCCGTAGCCTTTATCAGAAGGCGTCGTGCCATTGCCTGTTAGCCCGTGGCCATTGGTTGTGCCATCGACTTCTTCAGAAGACGCCATTGCCACTAACTTTGAATAGTTCGTTGACTCCGGGGGTTTCGCGTTTCGCAGCCCACTTCCCAGAAATCTTTCCAATTTAGCCTTAAAATTGGTATCCACGATTCAAAAGTTTAGGGTTTCATTTGGTCGCATCTTTCCCACTCCAGATTCTGGTACGTGTACGTACTGGTACCGGTAGCTACAAACTGGCACCGTAGTCTTCGGTATGCCGACACAGTGCCGTTGCCTGGAGCTGGCACGGAGCGTTCTGGTGTGTAGCATAGGCGAGAGAAACTGGATGCCCTACCGGTACGTACTGAGAGGCAGGGGCTGAGGCACTCCCCTCTAAGATCTTCGCTCGGCTCGCCAAGGAATAATAGTCCGTCAACACCAGGTTCAAAGGAGCTGACTGAGTCGATATAGTCAGTGCACAGCTACCATGTTTCCGCAGCTTTGTTCTTAGAGTCGTGGTGTCAGCAGTACACGACTACTCCACCTCCAAAGGTAACGGCATTGTGTTTTTGTGTGAACCAAATAGACCATTCCATAGGAGAGAATTTCCCTACTCTAAACCCCCGTTTCTTTCATAGGAGAGACCATATCGATCAATAGGAGCTATGGTTAGGTCTGATAAACAAACTACGTTACTCGTAAGGTTGGATACTGATTATTCACTTGCTTGCATTTCACGTCTGGTCAAAGGCTGCCCCGAACCAACCTCCGCAGGCAACTGCCCTACGTACTCCCTCCTCCCTTTTCTCTACGGTACGCTCTACGGTAGCTACGGTGGCTAGCTAGCATAAAAAGACAGCTAAGACCTATGATCTTTGGAATGGAGCATGATACAATCTCTGGTTAAAGACTTAGTAAAGCTGTACAAGTACCACACGGCTTCCAAGTTCCAACTTCCAAGTTCGAACTTGGAGGCACAAAGTTCTTGGAAGGCAGCGAATTGATTTTAAAGCAGGGCACCGCCCGATATCTAAGCCTGGCTTTCAAATTGGATGCCAGTGGTGGACAAAGCAAGCAGAGAGCAGCAACAACTGGCCGCAGCCTTCCATGAGGCAGCAGCAACTTTGGATCAGGCTTTTGGGTCTGATCTCGATTTAGATGACAGCAGTGTTGACACTATCAGCAATAGTGCAGCTAGTAGCAGCGCTGATGACAGCAGCAGCACGGGCGGGTTCGGTTGGTGACCTTCCCCCTTAATATCTTGCCTCGGTTGGGTTTTAAACTTTCCCGGCTGAGGGGGCCAACTCTCTCCGCCCCAATGTTTGTGGGGGTTATCGGTTTAGGGTAGCGGCACGGTGGACAGTCGTACTCAGAGTAGCCTTAAAATAGAATTCTATTCTCATGATTTTAAAGCAGGGCACCTGACAGGGAACAATTAGGCATGGATCTCTCAGGATGGCATCCGAAGCGTACAGAGCAATATTTATTTAAATGTGAGTCGTGGGAGTAGAGAAAAAAGAACTCAGAATTGCTTCACACAATGATTAGTTAGTTTTTAAATATCTAGGAACTAGGAACTACTGACCCGGGGGCTTGAAGCGGTGTGACTCCCTCGGACAACAAAGAAATAAGCTTGCTGGACATTGTGGCTGCGAGGATTGAAGCTTATAGAAATGAGGAAGAGATGTCAACAATTTTAATGCATAATCAGAAAAACACATCCATTGATAATGCTGATGACACGACAAAGCAGATGATGCAAGCAGGAAAAGGCCAGCAGCAAAATGAATTGCTTTCTGCCCAACAGGGCTTCCCTCAACAAACCTTTCAAGAAACACAAGACATGGCACAACCAGGAGCGTATGCCTTTGCCCCAACACTGTCCAACAACAATGATGCAGAGATAGTTATTGAAGAAACTAGGCATGACATTGAACCAGCACCACTCGAACAGGACAGCTCTGGTTTGGCAGTTGCAAGAGAGGTGCAGGATGATCCAGAAGATCCAAGAAGCTTGCCACAAGCAGAAGAGTATAACGAGAATAGAGAGTCTAAGAAAAGGAACGCACAAACACAAGAGTCAAATAAACGGATTGCATTGGTTCTTGGCTTTGGCCTCTGTCTTGTTGTTCTCTTTGTACTACTTGTGGTCCTGTTGGGGAAAACAGCCGATGGAACTGAAGCTACACTGGCCATGGAACCTGTCGAATCCAACAATGAAGATGCCCCTATGCACTCTAGCATGGCTCCTAGTCCATCTCCTGTCTTTGAACAGCTCTTGAGCTACTTCCCAAACTACACTATCCAGGCATTGGAGGACCCAGAGTCTCCACAATCCAAAGCATTGGATTGGCTATTGGATGATCCAGATCTAATGTAATATGTTGATTTGGAATGGAGGGTGCAGCAGCGGTTTGCCCTGGTGGCACTGTTCCACTCCACCAATGGCTTCAAATGAACCTATTCTGATAACTGGCTCAGTTATAGCCACCATGAGTGTTTCTGGTATGCAAGTCGATCCATTCCCTTTGTGCTCCCTGGGACAGGTGACAATCATTTCAGAGGGGAGTATCAGAATCCATGTCATCTACCAATCAATGATACAATTGGAAATGTCGCTATGGAGGCAGTCAACTTGATTGAGGACCCAACTCAAGGTTCCTACAAACAGCCGTGGTTCCAGATGAACAACTTGGAAGGCCAGCTACCAGAAGAAATCTACTGGCTGACAAATCTGGAGACAATGAGTCTCTTCTTCAATATGCTTGATGGGCCCATATCCTCACAGATTGGCCAGTTGCAAGATTTGGAAGCAGCAATCTTCAGCTTCACAGATGTCACAGGGACTCTCCATACTGAGATTGGGATGTTGAGTGACACTCTTTCCTTCTTTCTCAGTGAGCAAACTCAACTGTCTGGCACACTTCCTACTGAGATTGGCATGCTTTCCAAAAGGAACACATTGTTGATGGATGCAAATCATTTCTCGGGCTCCATTCCAACAGAACTGTTCCAACTCACCAATCTTCAGATGCTTTACTTGGATGAGAACTGTCTGACTGGAACTTTGGCATCAGACATAGGCTTGCTTCAAGACCTTGATTGGCTTTTTCTTTTTGAAAACCTCTTGACAGGTACAATACATTGCTTTCGATGGATTGCGAACCTTTTCTGTACCACGCTTTTCAACTCACCAAAACTCGTGCTCTTTATTCACAGGTACATTGCTGACTGAAATTGGCCTTCTCAATTCGGCCTCTGAACTAGGAATCTTTTTCATGGACCAGTAAGTTCAACCAATCTTACGAGCAAGAAGCACTTTGTGCGGATACCAACCTGTGTTTCTTGTTCTAGATTCCTTCTGAACTCGGAATGCTGAATTCAAATCTCTTGCAGCTTTGTCTCAATGACAATCAATTCGACTCTTCCATACCAACTGAACTTGGTTTGATGTCATCAGTGATCTCCATAGAGTTACAGAACAACGCTCTTTCAGGCCAAGTTCCATCTGAGATTGCAGCCCTGGAAAGTCCCGCAAAAGCTGTATTTTGCGATAAACCATAATTAAGCACCTTGAACTGTTGAAAAAAATCAACAGGTGTTGAAAAAGTGTTGATTAAGTGTTGAAAAAGTGTTGATTAAGTGTTGATTCTCTTTCAGCAACTGTTGAAAATACTGTTGAAAATTTGTACATCATTTTCAACACTTTTACTGCAAACTACTAGTACTAGATTCAACAGGTGTTGAAAACAGTGTTGAACAGTATTCAACAGTGTTGAAAAAGTGTTAAAAAAGTGCTGAAAAAGTGTTGACTAACTGATTAAAGAAAACTCTTACTGTTGAAACAGAATTCAACACTTTTACACTGACTTCAGCGATTTCAGCATTTGCGGGACTTTCCTGCCCCACCTCACTCACTTTCTGGCGCAAGAGAACAGTCTCTCAGGCATTATTCCACATGGGTTCTTCAGCTTTCTCGAGGCCAATGGTACCTCCACCTTGAAAGTTTTCAATTTCAGCCAAGCTTTGCTTGGGGAACAACATTATTCTTGCTGGGTTAATGAAACCTTCCAACAGACACCATCTCTTTGCCATGAGGAATTCACCATCCTACCATATTCTTGCGAGTGTCGGTGCCGCTGTTGATTGGGTGGTGATGGATGGCAGGCTGGACAGCAAGTCAGTCCTGATATATTGATTGGCCTTGGTATTGGGTTTGAGCTGGATTCAATTGGTAGTAATAGGATCGATTCAACTGTTGGGTCGCATTCCCATTCAAATTTATTTGAATGGTTTGATGGAATCGAGTCAATCATTGAGCTTTTGTCCTTACTTGCTTCTAAAATCATTCAATGATTCGCTGCTATCTCGTCCAGTACGGTACCGTAATCCCAATAGCACCGTGGAGTGCCGGTGTCACGAAGGCCAACCACCGTAGAATGGTCCAAGTGGGTTTGAGAGCGGAGGCATGTCTCCGCGTCGAAGAAAGAAGCTTTAGCAATGTTGAGCGGCGCGTTCTGTGGTGTAGTGGTACTGAGACCCCTTTGAGGTTCACTCACCAAGGATTTTAAAAATAGATTACTAGTAGCACCACGTTCAAAGAAGTCGGTTGTGCGTGCTCAGCTACCAAGTACCAGGAACGACGTACATCACTGGCATTCTAAGAGTGACTCAGTCGCGGTTTTCAGCAGTACCGCACACCTTTGATGCCGTTGCCTTGAACTGGATATTTCCAGAAAGGAGCGTTCTGTGGTGTAGTAGGCGAGACAAACTGGGAGTCCATACGGTACCGCGAGGCAGGCTAGCTAGCTAGTTGCAGCGATTTGGGAAAAGATCCGAGGCTGAGGACCCCCCCTTTCATCTTCACTCGCCAAGGAATAGTAGTCCGTCAACATCACGTTCAAAGAAGTCGGTAGTCAGTGTCCAGCTGCCAAGTGGGAGAGGAATTCCGCAACTTGTTCTGATGGTTTACTGGCTATAGCTAGTACATGTAGTCGCAGTGCACCTACAAAAAATGTGACAGTGTCCGTGCGTCCGCAGGAGCCTTCAAGTTGGGCGTAAACTACTGGTACTAGTACTGTAGCTAGTACTGGTGGTACCGAAAAGGACCACTGGTTCGCGCCCTTGTTGGTCTGCTGGTCTGCTAGTACCATTACTATTAATTTAATAGTAGCCCGCCGGAGCATCCGGAAGGCCCCCGGTGACGTCATTTTAGCGACTTAGCGAAGTCGCGAAAGTCGTTAAAGTCGTTAAAGTCGCGACTAAAGTCGCGAAAGTCGTAAAGTCGCGGTTGCGTCTTGAAAGTCGCGGTCCTAAATGCGTAAAGTCGCGAAAGTCGCGAAAGTCGCGATATAAGTCGCGTGTCGCGACAGAAGTCGCGAAGATCGTTCGGAGATTACAAGATGACAATGATGTGCTTTACGGCCGCTACCTTACTACTATTGCATTAGTTATTGCTGGTGTATGCATCTATGTTGTCCTTGCGGCTGATCTCAGGGCGATTCTTGATTCGTTTGCCCTTCTTGCATTTCTTCTTCGCTTTTTCGTCCGCCACTTGCATTGGATTTTTCCATTTGGTTTGTTTGCTTCTCTCTTTTAGTCGATCCTTTTGCTGAATACACGCTTGGAATAGGCTTGATAGCATGGCCTTGTGTCGCGGAGCTCACTAGGCTTCATCTCCGAGTGCAACCCAGCGGCCATGTCTTCATCAAGAGCCAGGTCAGCCTCAGATCCTTTTTCCCAAAGCAATTCTCCTGTTGGTCCGTGAGACTGTGTTGGATACATGTTTCTGGCCTCTGCAAGACACTCTGCATCGTAATCACGAGCCCATTTGAGTCTGGCAACAGCTTTTTGAATGCGGGCAAAGCGATCAGCATAGCGGGTTTTATCAAAGGAAAATCAGAAAACTCAGGCTGATGAGAGTACATTTTGTCAAATACATCTTCGGCATCCAGTTTCTTGTCATATGGTACCAACCCATCCATCATGTCTTGTACGATGAGGTGTTTGGCATCACTTGTCCCCCAATCAGCATTGTTGAGGCTAGCGGGTGGACGCACCGGCTTCATGTTTGTCCTTGCTTTTTGGCGTCTTTGGCATGGTATCGGAACTATTAAATCAGTCAACAATCAACCTTGGGTCTTGGTTTGCTTTGCTGGAGATCGCGAGGGCTACCACTCGTTGTTGATGTTGTTTCAATTTCTTGATGCTAAGCAAACAGCTAGCTATCAAGCAATCGAGCATTGCAGATGGATCCAAAAAATGCAACCGATTCAAACACTTAGGAATGCCAATGCTGAAGGTTTTCGTGATAAACCGATTTGAGATTCAAACAAGACTTCTTCCATTTTCCTGATCGACTGCTTGGGTGACAGAACTCACAATGCTGACAACACGCAAGCTTAGAAGCCGGACTATTTTGACTACGACGGACGAAGAAACAGGCGACGACCTTTTCGAATTTGCACAAGAGGATCCATTTCCAGAGGCGCCTCAGTCGAAATCCGATCACTGTCAACCCAAGCTGAAGGTGAGTAAAACCAAGCAGTCGATCAAAAAAGAATGCAACAATGATGATGTTTCGTTCAACCAAAAGGCCGATGAGGACGATGCTGTGCTCTACTCGTGTGACTTTGATCTTCCATCAAGTGGGCTAGAGTTGAAAACGAAAGTGCTGTTGCTGCGGCTCCTTGATCAATATGGTGGTCCAAAGGCACCAACGAAAGAGAATCGTCTTGTCAAATTGCTTTGTGATGAGTACCCTGATGATCTTGGAACACTTGGTTCCCAGCGTCGGAAAAGAGTCAAGTGGCTGTCGGATAGATGGAAACGCACGAAGGACTTTGAATCGATTCGGGCTGCAATGATGCGATCCACGTATTACTCACAACCTCTTGAATCAATCATCACGCCAGATCCATTTGAGTCTCAGCAACCTTTGCCACCATTGACAGCTGCTACTTGCACCGCTCCAACTCCTGTGCCAAGCTTTGTGCCAAGCTTTGTTCCGTCAACAGCAGCTCCTCCTCTCATTCAATCAAGCCTTCCAGTAGTGTCTCCTCCGGCTCGCACCAAGACAGAACCGAAGACTAGCTATACTCATCAACCAGTTTCAATCGAAGATCTTCAAGCAACGATGGCAGACGTAAGCATTGGAAGCCCTCTTAGGATTTTGCTCCCCGGCGGAGCAGCCAAAAAAGGTAAGTTCGGCTGTGATCTTCCTGCATGTTGGTTGCTGGTATCGATTGTTTGCCAACCACTGCACTGCTCCTCAATTTGAATAGCTTCTGAAGAAAAGTATACTGCTGATTTGATCAACCCGGAAGCCCACGGTGAATATGTAGTTACAATCTGCAATGATGAAAGGATTGGGACGAAGAAGGCTTCAGCTGTTGTGATTGGCCGTCCCGGTACTAGTCCTGATGAGGTCCCAGTGTTGGATGCCAAGATAGTCAACAATGGAAAGTCGATTGAACTATTTAGTCCAACCAACCCCAAAGGTTGGATGAAGGGATCTTCCGGTTGGTTGGCCGTGATCAAAGCGAACGAAGACGTCTTCAACACCAGGCGACTCCACGAAACAATGAAAGGGCTAGTCACCAACCTCAACAAGAAAAAGCGTACCAAGAAAACGACAATTGATTTCAGTGCACTCAATATTCAATTGTCGAACGAGTACTTCTCTCCTGGATGTGGTTCTGACGGCCAGCTCATGATGCTGCCCTTGCCTTTCGAGTATGAAAAGGATGTTGGAGATGGCTCCACCAAATCTGCTACTGAAGTGATGGTTATCTGGCGAGCTTACATTGTCGGTACGATTGATGATGTCGAGGAGGATCAACAGGCGCAACACACCGGCGTAAATCTCATGTTGGAAATGATGAAGAAGAGTAAGAAACCTACCTCTTAGGATACTGGCAGCAGCATTGGCCGTACTATACTTGTAATGGAATCTAAAGAATCGTTTTCTGTGCAACTCCTTTCTGTTATACTAGCTTCAATCTCCAATGGAGCGATGGACGTAGATTTCCTCATTGGTGGCAACAACAATGCGAGTGGTGCAGTCACTACAAATACTCCCACAATTGAAACTGGCCTACGAGTTGACGTAGCTGCTGCCAACAATATCACAACCAACACACTTGTTTTGAAGACACCAAACAATGACAATAACTCTGGTATCAATGGTTTTGGTACCTTTGCTCTTAAAACGCCTACCAATGACGAGGAAACTGGAAATAATGCTTCATCTCTAACTCTTCGCACACCCATTGCAGATGGTGGCATTGCCAGCAGTGGTCGTGGCTTCAATCTCAAAACACCCACCAATGAAACTGGTGGCGCCGGAGAAAACGAAGACGAGGAGAATGTGTTGAGTCCTGGCACTTGGGAAATCTTAGAAGAAGAAGAGAACCAGAGGAAGAGGTTGATGGATAACCCACGGAGGAAGAAGATTGCCCAACTCAGGGTAGCTGAAGGCCTTCTCCGTGAGCAACAAAAGGAAGCGATTGGCGATGGCAAGGATGCTTCTTGGTATGAAACGATGCTGAGAGACTTGAATTCATTTGTCAAAGAGAATGAAGATGACCTCGACCAACTCTTACAAGATAATGCCACGGATATCAACCGATTGCTTGACGACGAGGCTGGTGACGACGAAGACAATGATACGGTGACCAGCATGGATGTCGATAAAGAAAGCAAAAAGCGTCCAATTGGAACCAGGGATGGTCCAGGCGACAACATCGATCGTTTTGAGGATCTTGACAGTGACTCGGAGGAACTCTAATCAACCAGCAGGCAGTGCTCCACATATAATACTTCGTAATAACCAACTAATAATACAGTCGTTAACAAAGCAAACAAGTCTATATGATTATTTGAGAACGTTGCGTTTCTTAGAGGGAGAAGAGAGGCTCACCAAAGTTGCTGCTGTCCTCGATTGCGTATTGGGTGAGGACAACGACAGCAGCAAAGCACAGCTTTGCTTTCTCTATCCCATGAATAAAGGGCTTATTCAGACACTGGTAGTCCTTGAGCCGCTTGTTAACTGTTTCTTGCCGAGCTTTTGCTTTGCCTTTCAGTTCCTTGACGGCTGGATCGTCAAGATTATTAGACACAGCGAATATACGCTTCTCCCTATCTGTTTTTCCAGTATACGCATCATCGGCAATAACACGGCAACCTTCTGGGACCATTTCGACAAACTCTTTGCGGATTGCTGTCATGTCATGAGTGCTGCCAGGATCTCCAGTGCAGGCATACCACATATGATTTGTCCATAATGATAGCACAATTTGGTAGTTGAGGCCCGCGAAGTTGTACTTGTAGGCGAAATTTTTGGGATTCCGGCGCATTTCATCATCTCTTGGCTCATTTGTACGGATTTGTGTTCCATCACAGCTTGCTCCAAGTCGAACAGGCCACACACTGGGACAGGCTATCTTGTGTTGTTTGAGCCGAGCTATGGGACGAACAAAATCCCATGTCTGATCTCTCATTTCATCATAGTCCATGCTCGGTCTCGTACAATCGAAGGAAATTGTTGGCTAACATGAATGCATTGAAAGACTTCCTTGACTTGGCCTCTTCTACGGACATGATGTTGTCAACCAGTTGCATGTCTCTCCATACTTTCGCAAGATGGACTGGATGCCGTCCGAAGTGGGCTTTGAACACTCTCGTATTGGTCACCATTGACCTCCTCTGCTGGACCGCCTCGCCAACATGGCATGATAACAAGCCTTGCTTGAGGATGTAGGAAGGCTTCAGAAGCCATGGAGCAACAGCAGCCGCCATTGTGCAGCATGGATTGAGATAGCATTGAGATAATGACAGCAATAGTCGTCTGTCCAAAGTCGCGATATCTGTCGTGTAAAGTCGCGAAAGTTATAGTCGCGAAAAGTCGCGGGGAAGTCGTGGTAAAGTCGCGCGACTTTTTTTCCCGCGCGACTTTCGCGACTTTCGCGACTTTTGGCGCGACTTTTGAAACGTGCCTCGGAATCGCCAATGATGCCTCACCCGAGGCCTTCCCGGAGGACTCCGGATTCCAGGAGGCTTCACGACGGGCGATAGTACCGGTACCGGTATTTATGCGTGACTGAGCGAAGCCCTTTCTGCAGTGTTCTGCTTCACTGTAGAAGGAGCACTCGAGACAAGCCAATTGGTACATCGAGGATGTAACATGTAACATTGTGAAAAGCTACAAGCTACACGACATACCACATCATTCGCCAAGAGACAACCAAAAGAAGGGTAATGCTCAGAAATCGCCGACGAAGCCTTGAAGTAACCTCACAACCTGCCCAATACAAGCATTCGAAATTTCTGACCATGAGCGAAGCATTGAGAGACTTCATGATGGATGCCTTCTGTTGCAAAGATCTCAACATTGTAAGGGATGATGCTGCCGGTCTGAAGCCGTCCTTCTCCAGGTCCCATTTGAAGCTTTCACCACCAAGGAATCGTTGGAAAAGCTACACAACATCATCGGCGCCAACGTTGCCCATACGGCAAATCACGCCGAACTCACCGACTCCGACATCAACTGCAAGGTCGCCAAGGGGGTACCAGGAAGCTGGCCTTACTCGTGCCATGAGTTCCAGATCGTCTCCAAGACGTGCCCCTCCAGTTTTGAAGATTGAGAGACAACCAATTGAATCTCTATCCCCGATCCAAAAGTTGAGCGTCTGGGCATCCACCGCATAGGGTTCTGGTACGGGTATCTTTCAATTTGGGTGGTCAACCTGTTCACCAATTGTAGACATAAAACAAAGTAAACTAGTAACTACGAATTCATCTTCCAGAGTACCTCGTCCCAGTATGCCTAACAAAACTATTAGAAGTCGATGAGCTTGCCTCCAGCAACTCTGTCTTTCTTTCCTCGTCCCTCTTTTCCTTCGCTTTCAGCCCCATTTTGTGAGGTGACCACCAAGCGCCAAGAACACACCAAATAAAAGGACGCCATTGCACCCTTTATTGTTACCACAAGTCTTTTTTCTATATCAAAGACTCTTGTTTTGAAATGGGAACTTCAATGTACCTTCAAATGCGTGGCATGGTCTCGTGGCTTCAAGCCAAACCGATTAGCAATGAAAGTAGCAGCCCTTGCTGCATTGATATCCATGCCCTTTTTGTTTGAGTCCGGGATGCAATCGACGTGATCTTCTGCATGCAACGAAGAGTGCTCAATGCCCACCTGTCTAGAGAAGGAAGAGAAAACCCCCCAATGGGCCGTACCAGTCCCGTTGATCTTTGGCATCGGGACGCCTATTCAGAGACTCATCTGGGCGGAGCTCCCTGGTTGCAATGGGAACAATTTCTACCACCTGGGTGCCAGGTCTGGAGAACATGAGATTGCAAAGATGGGCTCCATGCACTGTCACAATATGAGAGTAGGAATTGTAAAGTGTTCCTTGTTGGGTGAAATTCAAAGCATTCCACTGTGCTCCCATCATTTCAATCTTGACATGAAAAACTTCTTGAAGGATCTCTGCAACTTCAAAGGAAGAGTTGCAATGACGTTGTGGGGATCCAATGGCTCTGCCCTTGGCTCTTTCCGTGGGTCCTCCCTTGGGTCTTCCCTTGGGTCTTCCCTTGGGTCTGATCTTGGCTTTGATCTTATTAATACTCTTGGCTCTGCCCTTGGCTCTGCTCGTGGCTTTGCTGCTGTTGTTTGTTGTTGTGGGAATATCGGAACGGAACATGTGTCGGGCTCAGCAACAACACTTGCGGAAGAACCTGGAGGTAGCGAGAAATGAGATTCGTAGAGGACCCTGGTCATACGCTCCGTTTGGAACTGTTTTCTGGTTACAAGTATTTGTGTCAACAAGAGGGCCGACAATGCAATCCAAGTTGCAACGTTCCCCGTCGGGGGCGTGCATACTGTCGGTAGATGGACCTTTCATTTTTGCAACGAAGCATCCATTTGATTTGATTCGATTCAGTCTCAACTTTCTGCTTTGTCTCGTTCCAAAGAGATTGGAACCTTTGGAACGAGCACTGCGTACTAGCTAGCTAGTCCAATGTATGGTGATTGATGAAGCAGCAAGGTCGATCGAGAGGACCGAGGCAAAAAGCACCTGGCAGAAAATGGAAACGCGGGAGTTGATTTGTTGTCTTTGCGAAACATCGACTGCATTCGATTTTGGGATCGATTTAGTTCGATCACAGCGATCGAATGCGTTCGTCATCAACCCCGTGTGGGTCTGTCTGGTGTCGTGGCGCCTAGAATTATCATGTTGAGTATACAACTAATTTTGTAGCATTCTGGCATTTCAGCTGAATTGAGCATTAGTCATATCTTAATAGCTAGAGAAATGTAATGCAGAAAGCAAGCCAAAAAGGAAAGTGTCCTATTTAATGCATAAAAAC